AACCTTAGGGCAAGTCACTTAAGCTCTCCGAGCTTCCATTTTTTAAAGCTATTACAGAGGGACACCCCACCACTGTGCTGAGTTACTAAATGAGACAATTTATATAGAAGATGGCCAATCAATTTGGTTCCCCGTTTGTCACTCCAGTACACGTAAGCGTGGGGTTTGTTCTTGGTCAAGAAGTGGTACTCTACACCTGCAGTTCCACACTTGAGGTCTTGGCCTTCGGACATGAGTCTATGGGTAGAAGATGTTCTGACCAGAAATGGAAAACTCAAAGAAGAATACAAAGAGATGAGCAAGTTGAGAAGACCGCTCTGCTTATGCACTCCTCCAGGTGTCTTAGTACTTCTCACTTCACTGCCGCTACAACTCTGCGAAGCAAGAATCCCTCATCTTTTGTACGAGGAAGCCAAGGCTTAGTGAAACTGACTTACCCTGCAAGTGGAACTGGAACACAAAGCCAGGTCTGATGATGCAAAGTCTCCTTCCTGCTCTTCATTCTCCTAGGGTGCTGGAGAAGCATCTGGGATTAAATATCCTTTGCCCTCTTGGGAACATCATATACAAGCCAATTCTGCCAAGTCCAGCAGCAGTTTCGGGTCCACTCCTTCTTATCACAGTTTCTTGGCTCACAGCAAGCACCCGTGACCCTCCACTTCCCAGGCGAGAGCCTAGAGTCCCTGATGTTTTTGTTTGGACTGAGAGGCAGAGAGGCCACACCTCAAAGGGCACAGAGGTGCAAGGCCCTCACTCACTCCCAACACAGTCCCCTGCAGTAAAAGCACAGCCTCCAGAAGGCAGCGTTAGCTGTTCTAAAAGGGAGCATTAGCTGTTCCAACCAGTAATTAAAAAAATAAACTGCTGTTTTAGTCATTTGGGTGAGTCACGGCAGAGGATCTGAATGTCTCCACAGAGCAGAGTGGGAGCTGTTGGGTATGTGCGTGAGGCCCTGCTGCTAGTGGGCTGAGCCCCACACAGGGCTTTCGAATACTGTGCTGGCACCGGCGCCAAGACTTGGTACTGGGGAGCATTCAGAAAGGTTCCAGACAATCCACGCTCTGCTCCAGGAGGCAAAAGCCAATTCAGTCTCAGGAGTAAATGTCTTCTGCATTTTACGGGGGCTAGTGCCCATTCAGCAAACCCAATCTCCTGGCACCAACTTCTTTAAACAAGGTATGTCACGTCCCTTTCCTAGGGGCACCTCCTGGATGGCTGTAAACCTGCGGCACCTTTGAGACTTTCCTTCTCCAAGAGGCTCCTTAGTTTTCCAAACTGGACCTTTTCCCTCCTAAGGTGCAGCCAGATCTGTTGGGGGGCCCCTCTCATTCTGTGCCATAACAATAAGGGTAGATGGAACTTTTCCTTTACCCACACAGACCCCAGAGTTAGTAATATCTATGTTCTACAGAGAAACATCCCTTGTGGGAAACAAGGCCTAGCTCACCAATATAATGTACACAACACAGAGCCAACTGTGCCAACTTCTGAAGTAAACAACATATATGCCAGTCAACCAGATAAACCAAAGCAAGAATTTAAAGACAAAAGAACAATGAAAACAGTTTCTTAGAACTCTCTATATTAACTCTTCCTGGAACCCAAGACTTCTGGAAAACTACTGTATAGCCCCCCCCCAGTACCTCCATTAACTAGATAAAAGTTAATCCAAAAGACTGACCCAACCTGGGTATCTTCTAGAGTAGCAGGACACATGGAAATAAAATATTGTCAACTGAGACCATAAAGAAACATAAAAAGGTTGAAATACTATGCCCAGATAAAAAGACCATGGGGTGGTGGGTTTTTCCCTCTTTCTACTTTTATTTTTCAAATTTTATTTATGTGAAAATTTACTTGTTTGCATAAAAAATATTATCTGGGTAGCAGATGGATATTTCAAAAAAAAAAATACCAAGGACACATTTTATCCATTCCTGCAGCAAAGTGAAGGTGCTTGATCAAAGGGCCAAAGATGCCCTCATGTGGCTAGAGAGGAAAATGCTGTGGGTTAGGTTAGATGAAGGGCTACCTACTCCCTTAAGAGGGCTCGGATTTTCCATAGGCTTTTGCATCTTTTCCACATCTTGCAGTTTTATTACTAGTCAGAGCTTAGACGGTGGTGTGCTCACATTATTTCCATCAAGAGAAGAGAGGCTTCATTATACCAAAAAATAGATACTAAAATTTTAACTGACAAACATGAACCCTTCAGATCAGCTGAAATTCCACCATGGTGACACCAACCCTTCTAGGACACGCAGCAGTGCTCTGGTGAAGGAACCAAACTGCTAGAAGCAAAGCAGATTCCAAAGAACAAAAGCAGCTTTGGTCCCCCTTGGAGAATAAGTTCAGCTTCTGTTTCTACTTTAGTTACCAAGAGATCAGAAGCCAATGCCAGGGACCAGAATAGAATTTAAGATAAATACCACAAAGATTTAAGTCCATAAAATCCATCAACATGAACTTGACCTCTAGGCACCTAAGGCAAGCATCACTCAACCTTATGATACATTGGTCAATAACCTATTTCTTGAAAGAAAAAAAATTCCAGGGCGCTTGCGTGGCTCAGTTGGTTGGGTGGCTGCCTTTGGCTCAGGTCATGATCTCAGGGTCCTGGGACCAAGCAAGCTCTGCATCCAGCTCCCTGCTCAGCGGGAAGCCTGCTTCTCCCCCTCTCTCTGCCGTTCCCCTGCTTGTGCTGTCAAATAAATAAATAAAATCTTAAAGGGCGCCTGGGTGGCTCAGATGGTTAAGCATCTGCCTTCGGCTCAGGTCATGATCCCGGAGTCCTGGGATCGAGTCCCGCATCGGGCTCCCTGCTCCTTGGGAGCCTGCTTCTCCCTCTGCTTCTCTCTCTCTCCCTCTCTCTGTCTCTCATGAATAAATAAATAAAATCTTAAAAAAATAAAAAATAAAAAAAAATAAAATCTTAAAAAAAAAATCCTTTTTCCCTTATACCAGAGGGTATGCTACCACACATAACGCAATTATAAAACATATGCATTATTAAAACAATTTCTGGATGTCTTTTAAAAATGTCTTCAATATTCTCTTGTTAGAAATAAGCTGTTCTTCTCAGAGAAGAAAACGAAGACATCCAAGTGCAAAGAAGGCACTCACAGCTCCAGTTGGAAGCTTCAAGCCTCATCATTCAGTTTTTAAATTCTAAGAGCGTGAGCTCACCACCTATAAAACCTCCTCCAGGACACTGAGCCTTAAACCTGGGACACTGAAGCACATATAGAAGCAAGACGCATCTTCTGTGCCTCCAGTCACACAGAGCACTTTCCCGGCAGCCCTTGGTACCAGACTTAAACGAAAGTTAGTACTGTGCCTGAAATGCATTTTGAACAGGCAGGGAATGTATGTAAATACACTATTGTTCTAACACAGAAAAATACAAGACATTAAATGAAGAGAAGTGTAATATAAAATTAAATACACAGCATGAGTACAAAGTTAAGCCCACACCCTTGTGCACCCAGATCATCTACAGAAAGAGAGACTAGAAGGAAACACTAAAATACAATAATGGTCATAAGACTGCGACAAGGGGGTGATTCTGTTGCTGTTTTCTACTCTCATTTTCCAAATCTTTAATGAGCACATGCTACTCTGTGTGACCCTGGGTACTGGTTTTCTCGTCCTGTCAGAGATTCTTCTCTCTGAAGGGGTGGGGGGGAGGGGGTGTTCACAGAGCTTTCTGAAATAATCCAGGAGGTTTATGGATTCTCTAAAGGTCCTAGGACTTCTAGTGAAGAACACTAGTTAATATGTTCTATTGGGCAGCTCTGTCTCTACTGACAGGGGGAAGTACAATATAGTCCTATTTTTAGTTCTTTTATCTCTGCTGAGGGCCGGGTCTAGGTGCTGCCAAGACAGGCCAAGTTCATCAGTTTTCTGCCCTAACCAATAGCCACCTTTCAAAAGCATGGCTTAACTACTCAGCCCCAGTCTTTGAGGATAAGAAGGGGCTCTGGCACTGTACTCAAAGAGTTCAGTCTAGACACAGCCTTAGGACCACTGGTGTAAAATCAAACTCAAGGTGTGAAAGTTAAGCACAGCAGACGGTAACTGAGACACCAAGAGAACAACAACAAAAAAAAGAGCGAGAGAGAGAGAGAGAGAGACCCCCTTTCCAGAGGTATTCTTGCTGAGCCCTGAGACATTCCAATGAGAAACATGTTTTAAGAACATGGTCACCCCGGCCTCAGAATTTCTAGTGCGAACAGGTAAGCACCGAAGAGATTACAAGGGAACCCACAAAAAGCAATATGTGATCAGCTACAACTTGTCTGCCAATAGATGAGATTTTCTTAAGCAACCTACTGCTCATAACTATCTTGCTCCATTTCTTATTTCTATCATCAGTCATTTATCCATTCACATCTATGGAAATATTCCCCCGAATCCCAGGATTCAAACGGGATTGACAGATTTCAATTCTGCATGTTCTTATATTAAAAATAAAACAAAGCTCCACTTCAAATGTCAAAAGAAAAAAAATCATACATCAGTAAAACCACTACAAAACAGTACTTTCAAACAGGTTGGAGGTAGGGGTATGGCTTCATTCTGTTGTGTCTCAGTCACATCTGGTGGGAGTTTTGCTTACCTAATTCTGTTTTCTGAAATAAGCAGCATCAAAACAGACATGAATCAGGAATGTGACGCTTCCAGGCGCCCTCCCAGGTCAGCCCTTCTTCCTGGCATTACTAAACTTTCTCTCCCTGACTCTCCCACCACCTACCATTAGGCCAGTTCCTTCCTCAGAACTGATGCAGGGGTAATCAATCCTATGTACCCAGAGAAGCCCTGCAGGTGACTCTAGAAGTGGGCACAGGGCCTATCTGTCCGATGTACTGCCTCCATTCAGAGAACGAGAAGCGTTCTCCATCCCTCCTCAAGAAGCAACTAGGAATGACCGAGCAGGATGCTCTGTAGTTCCGACACAGACCAGACTCCAAACACAATTCTTTCGGCCTCAGCCTAAATTTAAGGTGGTCAGCTTAAAGGTTTAAGTCCCTCCTTGGTTTACTGATAAGCTTTTTGTTGATGCTGGTAACAATTTTTCCTCACGAACTACCATACTAATGTCCAATAACTTTAAAGGGGTGGGGGTAGGGAGTGTTTTAAAATAGATTTGTTTATTTTATTTTAAAGATAATTGCACATGTTATCAGTGGGCCTATGGTGGAATGCCTCTTGCCACCCCAAAGCAGGCTACTTTATAGAAACTTTCCCAACTGTGCAAGAAGTTAACTAGCAACAAGCCTGAAAATTTGGTTACGTATATAGGTACAAAGCTGGTTCATCAAATCCCTGTTCTGGCCCTCAACCCAATGCATTTCAACTAAAGCATCATCCACCTCCTTCTTCACATTTATCAAACACTTGAATAGGTAATGTCCAGCCACTCCTTGGAGATGGCTCCCCTTTTCAGACACTGGACTGCTGAACTGCTCAGAAGCCTCTCGGTCCTGGGCTCCATTGCTAGAGCCTTTACAACTCTCCAAAACCTCCATCCCTCCCTTTTCCTCATTCCTTTCATCCTCCATGGGTTCTGGGTTTTCTTCCTGGGAAAGCAGATCCTGGTTTGAGCAATGGCCCTCAACAGTGGCAGACTCGCCTTCCTGTGGAGCAGGGCCACATAAGACACTCTCCTGGGGGCCCTGGGCCAAATCTTGGCTACTGCCAGACTCTTTGGGGGTGGACTTTTTCTCCTCCAAGGCTTGGATGACATCCTCAGGAGCTCGGGGAACTTCTCTCAATTGTCTCACTCGTTCTCTTTTCTTTCTCCTTAAATGAATCCAGGAGTTTTCTATTGCTGTTAGAAAAAGGCTAACTTCTTCCTTTCCACAGGGAACTCGCTTATGCTGGACCTATTGGAGGAAAAACAGAATTTTAGAGGAAATCACTTTTCTCCTCTCAAAACTCCTTAAAAAAACAAAAAACAAAAAAGAGGAGGAAGGAAAAAAGAGATTGTTTTAAGTACTTCTTCAATGTGCTTAACCAGGTACCTTCAGGTCGGTGAGGATTTTTTCAATCCATGCTGTCACAACTACTATGCCTTCCACTGTCTCAGAGCCCAGGGACGACGATGCTTTAAGGGACAATTCTTTCATCACAGACTCCAACACTACGAATGTAATGGGTTTCCTTGACTTCTCTAATTTTCTTCGCTTACTGGGTGGTGACTGAAAGAAAAAGAAGGCATGGGGGAAGAAGGGAAAGTAATCCAAACAATCAAATCCCATGTATTATAATGAACTCAACTAGGGACATTTCCATGACTTCTACTACCAAATGCAGAGCACTAAAAACAAAAAGGCCTTTGCATGTTTACTTTCAATACTTAAAACAACTCTGCCAAACAGATTTATCACCTCCTCATTTTATAGAAAGGAAAACTAAGATACAAAGATATGTAACTATATCAGGGTCACATAGCTAGTAATTGCAAAGTTAGAATTGAACTCCAAAACCAGGTTCTTTGCCATAGGCTATCGGTATATAACACCCTCCAATTACTAAATGTTCTTAATCTACGTGTTGCGCCCAACACACACCTGTACAATTATTTATTTCATGGCAACTCAAGGGCTCTGGGAGCACTGTGTTCTCTTCTTTAAAGAACTGCATGGTTTAGGGGCACTTGGGTGTCTCACTCAGTTGAGCATCTGCCTTTGGCTTGGGTCGTGATCCAGGGGGTCCTGGGATCAAGCTGCAAGTCCAAGTCAGGCTCCCTGCTCAGCAGGGACTCTGCTTCTCCCTCTCCCTCTGCCCCTCCCCTTGCTCATGCTCTCTTTCTCAAATAAATAAATAAAATCT